CGGGAGTAGGTCCTCAGAGCTGTTACCAGAACACCAAAGGCGTACAAGGTCCAGAGAGTGATGTTGAAAGTGCGGGCGGCGGCCAGTGCAGCCTCCATGGCGGCTGCTTCCGCAGCTGGGTCTGACGATTGTGACGCCATTTGTTGTGGTGGACTCAGGCCGGGGGGGGGGGGGGGGGATTTTGGTTTTCGGAACTTTTTCAACTTAGGATCAGACCAGAAATCAACAAAACAGAATCCCAAAGAGGACGAAAAAATTCCTGCGCCCCGTTTTATATATCCAGTCCATCAAAGCAGCCATTAGGGTGGCCGCTTCCCCTGTGATCTTGCAGCATTAACAAGGCCTTGTAAGTCCTGCATGGCCCCCATGATAAATTACATCGTCTTGTTTTTTTCTCTTTTCTTTTGTTTATGGGAACTCGAGACTGCCGAGTGAATATGCGGTGTCCACTCCTGGTTCCATTGATTGGCTCCGAGTCCCCCAGATAGGGGTTGTGTCGGGGTTGTGTTTTAGATATTTTCATTTGTTGAATTACACGTGCAGGACTAACGGTGTGTAATGGAGTTGAGATGGAGACTGTATGGAGACTGTATGGAGACTGTATGGAGACTGTATGGAGACTTTATGGAGACTGTATGGAGTCTTGTAGTCTATAGCCAAGAGAGGTCGTCGGTTTCTGGGCGGAGACGGCCGGCATTAGTTCAACCCGGATGCCATTCCCCTGTCCCCTAATGCGACGCTATTGCGTCCAGTGGCTGGTTGCAATTACCGGGACACTAATTGCTTCTTTTTCGCTGGTGGGACGGCACTTGGGTCTCAAATCTCTTTCCTCCCCACGTTGGGGGGCCACGGGGGATCATGGGGGTCAAGCAGGCGTTGGAGGACTACTTAACACTACCACCTTGGTCGGACAAGGTCGGAATGTTTGCTCCCTTGGAGGCTTGGATGGGGCAAGAAACCAGGATGGTGTCGAAACTATTATGCAAAAGTAAAATTGGCATGAAGCTGTCTAACCATGTTGAGTTTTGCCAGAGGTTTGAGAATATTGGAAATATTGAAGCGGTGGAGGAAATGTTTGTCGACTTTACCACGTTTGTATGTTGGCGCATGCACTACAACTCTGAAAGCCCTCAAGGGGCAAGGATTGGCAGCCCTTGCCCCTCGCTCACGGGATTCTGGTTGCAGCGGTACAGGTGGGTTGCGTTTTCTCGCGTCGCACCGGACCCGACAACATGGTTCTTCCGGGTTGCCGGATGGGCCTATATAATAGTGCTGCGACCTGAACTCTCTCTCGATCGGCCTGAACCAAAAGAAAGCCACCCTCATCTGTGGTTTCTTCTTTCCTTCTCCCCCCCCTCTTCCTCCTCCTCTACTCACACTTCCCCGAAATGCGTTGGTCTACCATCGCCGTGGCGGCACTTGCCACTGTCGCCCAGGCCCATCCAGGACATCACCACCCTTCAGGCCCCCCAAAGGGCCCCGCTTGTGACTGGACAGACTTTTGGAAACTCGGTAACCAGCTGTCCAAAGACGCTGAGATCTATCTCCCCGAGTCAACAGAATGGACGTCAGTCTCCCAAAGATGGTCCAACGTCGGAACTCCCACTGTCAACATTACCATCCTCCCGGCCAACGAGAATGATGTTGTCGAGATCGTCAAGATGGCCCAGAGGTGCGATATCCCCTTTTTGGCGTACAACGGAGTCCACGGTGCCATCACCACCCTCAAGGACATGACCTGGGGTATCGCCATCAACATTCGCAAGCTGAGCAGCGTCAACATTGCCCCCAACGGCCAGACCGTCACCATTGGTGGTGGCACCAACTCCAAGGTTGTCATTGACACTCTCTGGGCTGCGGGCAAGCAGACCGTCACCGGCACTTGCGAGTGCGTCAGCTACATGGGTCCCGCCCTCGGCGGTGGCCACGGCTGGCTCCAGGGTCACCACGGACTCATCTCCGACCAATGGACGTCTCTGAGAATCGTCCTTGCCGACGGTAGTGTCAAGACTGTCTCCCCCACAGGTCCCCACTCGGACCTCTGGTGGGCCATGCGCGGCGCTGGGCACAATTTCGGCATTGTCACCCAAGTCACGGCCAAGATCTATCCCATCCAGCACACCAACTGGGCCATCCAGACCCTCATGTTCACCGGTGACAAGGTCCAACAGCTCTACCAAACCGCCAACGATGTCTTCCTCCCCACCAACGGAAGCGCCCAACCCGTCGACATCATCAACTGGTCCTATTGGATGAACGTTCCTCCCGTCGACCCTACCGGCCCCGTCATGGAGTTTTACATCATCCAGGAAGGTGTCACCGCCGTCGACCCTGCCTACGTTGCCCCCTTTGAGGCTCTCGGTCCCGTTGCCTCCACTCCCAACACCGGAACCTACCGTGACGTCTCCGCTTGGGTTGGCATCAACATGGATGGTCCCCCATGCCAAAAGACCGGCGCTGCCAACCCTCGCTTCCCCGTCTACCTTGAGCGCTACAATGTCACCGCCCAGCAGCAGGTCTATGACGCTTTCAAGGCTATCACCAACTCGTCTGGTCCCTTTGCCAACTCTCTCTTTTTGTTTGAGGGTTACTCCATGCAGGGCGTCCATGCTCAGAATGCTTCTGGCTCTGCTTTTGCCTGGCGCGAGGACAACCTCCTCACTGCCCCTTTGATCACATACATGCCCGACCCTGCCAACCCTGTCCTCCACGAGCAGGCCCGCCTCGCCGGTGACCAGCTCCGCCAGATCTTGAAGGGTGGCAGCGGCAGATCGGAGCTCCATGCCTATGTCAACTATGCTTATGGTGATGAGCAGGTTGGTGATTGGTACGGTCACGACTCGTGGCGTTTGACCAGACTTGCCAACCTCAAGAACAAGTATGATCCTGAGGGACGCTTTAGCTTTTATGCTCCTGCTGCTTAAGAAGAGACGATAATTGTGAGCGAAAGGAGAAACAAAGGATGAAAGAAATAATTTGAGAGGGGGAAAGAAAAGCATACATACTATTTTGATGATAATTAAATATTAATAATATCCCGTTTTGTACATATTGCCATGTAATAATCTTGTTTTATCCGGTTACTTCGTCTTGGGGGCATTGATGTCCCGGATGCAAATTTAATGGTTTCCCCCCAAATCTCCACGGTGGCTTTGGCTGCATTTCTTCGGGTCGTGTTCGAGAATCATGGCAAGCAATAGTTTCCGACCGGGCGGTGTTGGTATTCTGCGGGATGAACTGGAAGCGTTTGGAGAAGTGGACAAGAATCGGCGTATCCACAAAGATGTTGTCGGGAAAGAGTTGAAAGAGATTTCAGAAATGGGTCATGGGGGATTGGGTATGATGGGGCAGAAGGTTTATTGGATCTTTGAAATTACTCATGTTCAAATCCGGAAAATTTTAAAGTTTTGCTTCGGCAGATCGGATTCTGGACAAGCGTCTTGTGCCTGCCAATTGTACAGTACCAGACTGCTCCCTGGATTCTAAAGTGTCCATGCCAGGCATCAAGGCACCTTATCATTGCCTCCATATGCTGTTTGCTTGTCCAGTAGGAAGGTGTTGGTCCGAATCCATTTCTGGTTGACCGCCGGGCTTTCTTTATTCTAGTCTGCTATATCCGGAACGGCCTTAACAGCCTTTTCATCTAAACGTGGCTCAGGATCAAGATCAAGATCTTGACTTTCATTGGATCAGCTGTGAGCCTGCACGTGCGAGGATGAATTCTTTTTTATGGCGCCAGATATGCAAATTGCGTTAATTTTGTTTCTGTTGCCAGGAGGCTGCGTATTTGGGCAGCATCCAAGGTACCGTATTGGTCGGAAACAAAATGGAAGTTCGAATTAGCATCGTTTCAAGCATCAAACACATTTAGATGACTCAGAACGCACCCAGAGATTTCAATGCCTCTGACGACCAAGATAGTGCCACATCAATCTCTGCCGAAGCGTTATTGAGAGGTGCAATTCTATGTCGTGTTTCCAGCAGCTGTTGAGCAACCGGCTCCATTCCAAGCGCAATGATGGTAACAGCTGCGAGAACCGAAATGATTGGGTTGGCGCCAGGGGTCCGGATCAAAAGGTTAAAGGCTCCCCAAGGCCCACGGCTGCAGTCGTCGATGATATCTAGATGATGAAGCGGATTGGCGCGGACCTTGAAGTGATTCCACTTCAGTTGACTGATGCAGGAAACCACTGAAACCATCATTAAAGTCGCAAAGATGGCCATTACCGTGTTTGGTTCCACGCCCAGTGTCCATGTTGATCGCCGCCTTTGGTTGATTCTCATGAGGAAAACAATAAGAAGCCCTATGAGAAGGACACTGAGAAGGCAAACACCAATCTCCCAATACCACCAGAAGTTGCGAGTGGGGTTCAAAGGGTTTTTGTCTGATGCAACTTGCTTGATGCCTTCTTCCATGTCGACACATGATGAAGAATATGATGGCGGGTCAGGGTCGGTTGAGCGTTGGGTGGACGTTGGTGTTGATCTCGATCTCATTTTGATGGCAAATACGATAGACTCGTCGAGGGATCTTGAAAAAGGTGAACGAGAAATTGAGGGATGGCCATGGTGAGAAAGTTGTTGAGTTGAAGGCGGAAGATTGAAATAGTTAGAGAGAAGTAAAATGATATGCCTTTTGACCGACCGAAAAACATGATGGGCTCTTCTTTCCTGCTCAATGTACAGTACCTAGACTCCACAAAGGGCGTCACGTACTTCCCATCTCAGGTCGAGCAGCCTCCAACAATACGTATAAAGCCTTGTGTCTGTAGTCTTAAAAATAAATGATTCGGTCAAACCGAATGGGAAGACCTTGCGAGAGCCTTACAGCTGGAACTCTTTTATCATCAATTGAAAAAGTACTAAAGTTAAAATATGCATTGTCATTGAAGGTATCCGTAAAGAAAAGGGTAAAATACTGGACCACCAATCCTTTCTCCTTCATATACACAATTCCTTGTACATGGATCCATCATAATATTGTATTCTCCAGATGTCAAGGGCCAATGGTCTAGCGGTATGATTCATCCTTAGGGTTCCTTTCACCTCCTGGATGAGGTCCCGGGTTCGAGTCCCGGTTGGCCCCTATCTTCTTATCTCTTTTTTTACCCTCCAATTGTTCATTCTATTTCTCCCTCATTAATAAAACGAAAAAACTTTTCTTTTCTTTTGCCTGTTTCACATCTGTCTGCGAAACTTGTTTCACACATTGTACCTTAATCCCTGCCAAGAGAAATAAACAAGTCAATAAATCAACGGATATCCACAATATCGATACCCAAAAACAAGTGCAAGAATAACAAACACATTTCATTTTCAATCCCACCAAGTTATCCCTTCAAAATAAAATAATAATACTTCTACATGTATTGTGTGTGTCTGTTCCTCATGCACATGTCCCCTGTTCCCAAACCTGCCGCTATTTTCTTTTTCCTCTTTCATCCCAGAAACCAAACCATTCCATTTTTCTATTTATTCCTTTACATTCCCAAACAAATCCATAATCTTGCATTTTCTCAAATTCATGATGCGTTCTGGAGGGTTGATCGATTTTTGTAAAAAATAAAAAAATAAAAAAATAAAAGCAAAAAAAAGGTAAAACATGTGCATGATGATGATAATGGGGGTATCCTTAACGAAAAAAAAACTAAAAAAAAAACTAAAAAAAAAACTAAAAAAGCCAAAAGGGGTATGGATGTGCGCAAGAACGAAAAAAGAAATCCATCGTAAATCTTTCATATCATACATGAGAAATATCGCCCACAAAAGAACCAGAAATGAGACGTGAGAAGTGAGGAGGATGAATAGAGAAAGGAAAATATGCAAAATGATGCGGCTGGCTGGTCCCCGAAACGGCTTGGACATAAATAGTTTTCGACGTTTTCGAGTTTTTTTGATGGGTAATGGTAATATGAATAAAGGCAAGGAAATAGTAATAAGGAGTGACTAGGGGTAAGTATGATGATTTTGTGATATAGACGACAGAAAGGAAATGTAAAATGAGTGTGGGAGTAAAGAACGTGTGTTTGGGGTTCAGCCAGTTATCCGCAACAAGTGCATATTCTCCTTACCTGTCATCCTTTTTGGTCCTCGACTCTTCAGAGAATCTCAGATCTGGAAGCAGAAGCTGACGCCAAACTTGCCCGCTTGGTATCAACGGACGAGCGAGGACTGATGGACAAAAGACGAACGCTACCAGCACTTACTCGTCGGGCATTACCCTTGCCGAGGTTAACGCTTGTAGCTCGCTGGACGCCGGGCCCAACATCTACAGGGCTGCCACCATCGGTACTCTCGCCAGCCTCGAATTCTGCTGTCTTCTCTTCACCTTGCTCTCTGTAGCTGTGTAATAAGCCCTCGCGGCTCTTCATTCTGTCGGCTCCGTGTGCGTGAACAACGGTTGGTTGTTGTCCTTGTACAGTGCCCCAATGGGCCTCCTCTTCCCAATCGCTGGAGGCCCTTGGCTCCCCGTTTGACTTGCGATTCCAACTAGATCGATCGGCTTTGGAGGGCGTCAGACGTGACAAGTAATCATCTTCTGCTATTGACATGTAATTGTCAACCTCGTCAATGCGCTCGTTGTCGGATTCGGGGGTAAGCCTCCGAACGACGCCTGATGTCTTTCGTTTCTTGGCTGCCTTGCCGGAGAACCATGAAGCCTCCGAGTCAATTGACGCGAGCGACATGCTTTGCGGTTCGGGTGAAGGGCCCTGTTCATCCGGATGACTGAACGTTGATGGAGTGTCACGCATGGCTTCCAATGCATTATGATCATAGACAGGCGTGTCAGGAGTTTCACCCGGTATTGGTGGAGGAGCAGCCTCGGCGTCGTCTTGAGCAGATGGAACATCCGGCGAGGTCTCGATTATGGGTGGTATTGGATCAACCTCGGGGGATTGGAGCCGTGACTCAGGAGGCGACCGTGGAAAATCTGGTAAATCTTCGCGGAAGCGAGACATTGTTCGTTTTGGCACGCCTGAGCTAAGTCGGCGCGGCATGAGAGTGGCAGGTGGCGTGGGCACCTGGGGCGTTGTGTGCATCGAATCTCGGGATGTATTTGAGAAGGACGATGGACCCTCAGAGCTGTGTTTGTTTCTAACTCCCCATCTGAAAAAGGACGCCCAGGAGAGCGGTCCTCTAGAGCTGCTCGTCTCTGAGCCCTTTCGTAATGATTCGGACTGTTCTGTCCGGGTGATAGATTCCCTTGGCGACCTAGATCGTCTGGCCTTTCCGCGCAAGAAGGAACTTCTCGACCTTGGACTTGATAATATGGAGCCAACTTGCTGCTTGGCTTCGGATGTTGTAAGTGGTATTTCCTGAATAATGCTATCCACCCTGTGAAACGCGTCTACTGGGCGCGGACGAGGGTCACTCTCAACTGGCTTCTCGGTGTGATCCTGTTGTTCAATGGCCTGGTCGGAATTTCTGGGCCTAGACGTCGTGACGACAACAGAAGCTGGCTCGACGGCCAATCCGATAGACTCTCGGCCAAAGACACCTCGTTCCAAGTTTGGTGGCGATTCTCTGCCCTGCTCCTGAGCAGCCACATCGATAGCCTTTTGTTTCTCTGCTCGCCTAGCCAGTTTCTGTTCAATCTTTTCTTGCTCCCGTTGGCGTTTTCTCTCTCTCCTGCGCTTGTCTCTTTCCATGAGCTCCCGCAAATCGCTAGCCGTAAGGTCGTCTGCAAGGTTGGCAATGCGCTTGTGTGCCTTGAGAGTCTCTTCAGGAATTGGCGCTGATGGCGACTTTCTCTCCCGCTGGGATGGACGCCTGAACAGGACGCCATCGGAAGGAGAGTGTGTTGTGCACCGCAAGGTGGGACGTGGCGCAAGAGCCTCAAGAGCAGAAACCTTGAAAGAGATAAAGTCCGAGTCCGATGACAGGGCAGAGTCAATAGACTCTGGGACAGGCAATGAAATATCTGAAGATCGATTGTGCTTTTCCCAATCTGATCCCTTGAAGCTGAACCCCAAGCCCGTCTTGACCTTCTTGGTATCTCGTCTCATTGGTCTTCCGGCCGTCCAATCCTCTGCGGCAGGGCGTACAGGTACAAAGGCACTCATGGCCTTGATTTCAGCCTCGCGCTGATGATCGTGCTTTCTCCGTTTTTTGCTAGACTTTTTTCGTGATAAATCATCACCATCTCTTTTGTTGTGTAGTGTTGGAATGCGCCACATCATTTCTTCGTCCCCAGAACTCAAGGGACCACTGTTGTTTGCCGGCGCGGCGTTGGCCCGGGTGCTTTTGGTGCGGCGAACCCATATCGAATCCTGGCGATCCGGCGAGAAGCTGTAAGGACGGACTCGACGCTGGAGCTTGTTTGGTTCGGTTCGCTGCTTCTTGGTACCCTGACGTTCCAACGCTGGAGCTAACATGGCCATGGCTGCGTCTGGTGCAGTCTGGCTTCGCTGGTGTAGTGCTGGTTCGATTGGCCGTCCACGGGATTCTTCCGAGTCCAGAGTATTTGACCGAGTGCGCTTCCTGCGACTCTTGCGTCTAAAAAGCCACAGCGCCATGTTGCCAAAAGGGAAGACCTTTTACGATCGACAACAAGAGGTGCGGTGGGGTTGACTAATAAGATTTGACCGTGAGAGCGACTGGGTTCGAATCATTATGAATGTGTCGATTACAGACTGGCGCGTGAACGCGAAAAATGTGCGACCAGCAAATTCGTCGCAGAGTGAGATGGTGTCTCTAGAGCATGCTATGTGAAATGGGGGTTGTGTCGGAGGATCGGAGCTGGAGGCCGGACGTCGATTCGTAGAGCACGGTGGAACAACGATTCGTTGGAATTGTCGGAGGCTTTAAAGACGGTTGGAATGGTGGCAATGGCGAATTATCGCGTTACGCGAGGGGTATAATAGGTATTGAAGAATATAGAATGGGGGAGGGGAAAGGGAAACAAAAATGGATCACCCTAAAAATGTCTAAAAAGATCTGAAAAAGAAGAGGAGGGTGTGTGTGTGTCTGGGAGGGCCCACGTATTTGAGACTGAGACCAAGTGATGCAGAGACAAAAAAACTAATAAGAATCGAAAGTGACAAGGGAAGGGGGGCCGGGTACCTTGCTTCCTGGGCTGGGCACTGGGCAGAGGTTGTTCCCTGTGATCGCTCTCCACTTCAAATGGTACAGAAGGACACGGCACCGGCAGCTGGACACGAAGTGACAAATTGCGGAACTACGTACGATAGAGAGAAGAGAAAAAGAGAGAAAAAGAAAACGGAATCCGGAAGGGGGTATGATTTCCTGGGGGGTATTCGGTGTTCGCCAATCACATCCTTCAAAAGGGCCCATCATCCCGTGGCCTCCGACCTCGAGACCTCTGGTTTAAAACGTCATTTAATGGTCGGTCGAAACTCGCATTCAACCCTCAAGGCCATTGGTCGTACCAAAGTTCCCCCTCATTGACCTTCATTTCCTCTTCAGGCTATCACGCTCTCATGATCGGAGAGCATTGGAAAAGTATCGTGACTCCAATGGCTCCGTGGCTCCGTTTTCTCCTCCACGCTCCACAGACCCTGCAGTTTCCTTTTTCCACCGTTGACTCTAGTTTGGGCCCTTGGGGGTGCGTTTGGCTTGGCACACGACCCACCTCAACGGTTTTTTTGTCGTCAGACCCCGCAGGGGGGGGGGGGGCAGGGCGATCCAGTGGACCTTGCAGTGACAGGAACAGAGGCCGGTCGCCCTTTTTTCCAGTCCTCTCATGATGGGATGATCTTACAAACACCATTTCAAAAAGATATGTTTCTGTTTTATTATTGGAATACCCCCGGCGCTCCCAGACATCCACGAGCGCATTATCGACATGTAAATGCTGGGGTTCCCGATGGAATACTGCAGAACTCGATAGGTAAGGTACAAATGAGAAATGCTCGTATCCGTCCTTCTTCGCTTTTGAGGCTTGGCGGTGAACTTCGTTTGCATCCCCGACTCCCCCGTCAGTGCAAAAAGTTGTCAAAACGGAAAAGTTCGTGCAGCTGTCTGTCGATGGATCGATTTTGCACCCCTGTGCAGAAACTTCTTGTTGACCAATTATGTCATAGCAGGATTGATAGGGCAATTGCCACCTTTTTCATCCCCCCATTA